CCTGTATAATGTGGTCGTATTTGACAGCAGGTAAGTTACAGCATGGGTAAGTGGGTTTTTTTTTCTTTCTTAATGCAATGACAGTTATGTTGATAAGAGAGAAGACTTGCTAATACACAGTACTTTAAAAAGTTTCAGTTTTCAGATTCACCCGCTTCGAGATTTTAGGCTATCGTTTAAAAATGCTTTGTCAGATAATCTAAAATGTGGTTCACGTGTATCATCTAAATGGACTGATTTTAGTAAAAATTGTTTAATTTGACTGGCATAGCTTATTCGTTAGCTTTAGAAGCCACAATGTCCTGTAAATACTACAATGATTAGGCTAGGCCTACTGTACACTCTGTTTCTATATAATGTATATAATGCCATGAACTTTAATATAACCGTATGGGCCGATATCAATGATCATTCTAATGTCAAATTGTAATCAAAATTACAATCTTTCCCTGATGTGTTTACAATTAAATGTTATCATGATAAAACATAGTGATGTTATCCGGGTCATACGATACTACACTAAAAAAAAAAATGCTGGGTTGTTTCAACCCAACTTTGGGTCAAATATGGACTAACCCAACTTTTGGGTTAAAAATGTAATGTAAAAATGTAACCCAACGGTTGGGTTAGTCCATATTTGACCCAAAGTTGGGTTGAAACAACCCAGCATTTTTTAGAGTGTATAATATATGATTATTACAGTGTTAAATATCATAACGCACAGTGCACTCTAAAAAATGCTGGGTTAAATACAACCCAGTGCTGGGTAAAATAGGGACAACCCCAGCAATTGGACAGTTATACCTTAATAGCCTTCATTAATAAATACATTAATATGAATTATATCAAATATAATTTATAGGCTACATCAGGGGTGGCGAATGTCGGTCCTGGAGAGCCACAACCCTGCAGAGTTTTGCTTCAACCCTAATCAAACACACCTGAAGCAGCTAATCAAGCTCGTACTAGGCATGCTAGAAACTTCCAGGCAGGTGTGTGGAGGCAAGATGGAGCTAAACTCTGCAGGACACCGGCCCTCCAGGACCGAGTTTGGGCACCCCTGCATTATACAGTCTGCAACAAGTTTACCCTGGAGGGCTTAGTGTCTCAGGTAAGGGTTTGCCCTCTTTCTTTCTTTCTATTTATTTATTCGTTTATTTTTTCTGCTATATGATAGCTAAATTAGCAATTGTTTCTATCTATATGCCCTGTAATATATAGTAAATGTACATTGAATCGTCCACCATCTTCCCATCTATTATGCATCGCGTAGAATGCAATCGTTTTAGAGGCGAGCTTTATAATCATTCGTTTATTTATTTATCGAATATAGTGTAGGACTCCAGTGGGTTTGGGCAAGAACCAAAATGCTTTCATAACGTTTACTTGGTGTTCCTTGTTAAACTCTGAAAACACGCGAGAGAGTCTAATTTGTCCCAGTCGATTGGAGAGACCTGAAGCTAGGCCATATCATGCAATATTGTACTTAGATTTTGCTTTGGGGAAATTACGAGGGAAAAAAAAAAGAAATGAAGTACTTGTACTTCTAACGTTCTAGCCTTCTTCTTTGTATGTAAATGAAAAGCAACACCCCGTCGTCTCCATATGCGCAACAGCAATTGCTGGAGCTGGCGCGTGCCTGATCGATGTTGACCTCTCCTATTGGCGTCAGTCGCGTGCCATCCTCATCTATTTAACTATACCGAGAAGCACGAGCCAGGTTTATTAATGGATAATCCCTCAGGGGCTGTGCGAGACAAGTCTCGCAGGACAGCTCGAATACACACATCATAATCCCGTAAAATGTTCGGTTTCTTTCTTTCGTTATTTATTTTATGTTTTAGTTAAAAAAAAACAAAAAAAAGAGGAAAATTTGTATTTATCGAGTTTCATTAAATATATTTAAATTTCAGGTTCTAAATGTTATATTTAAAATGCATACAAATGCTTTATAATTATTCTTTGTAAATTAACGGATTTATTCTTACTCAGAATTAAGTACAACATTTGTAAAGTTGCAATCGTTAGATTTAATAGATTTGTCTGATTTACCTTTATTTATTTTGCTGGTGTGACCTAACTTATTTAGTTCAGTGATGATAATATTTTTGTCTCAAGTAAAATCAAAGAAATGTGATAATAAACATATGTTTGTTTACATTTTCAGTCTATACACTCTAAAAAAATGCTGGGTTAAATACAACCCAGTGCTGGCTTGGTTCAGTAGTAAGTAATAAGAGTGTAACTCATGTGATACATGTTAATGCATATCAAAGTGCTGATTGCGCATGCCAGAGCGCACTGTCTGATTTCCGCACTCTTTGTGGATGAGGTTAAACAATATCTTGGAACAGTCTCATGCGAGATTGGCAGCAGATGGCCACTACAATGGAGTTTCGTTGGCCCAATTGGAGGGAAATTTTAATAACTGTCACACGCTCGACGCGTGCAGTTTATACGCCACATTTCCCAGGCTCCCACGCGCTCTTCCTTTCAGGGAATGACCGTTAGATTATCTGTCTGAACTACACTCGGTAGCCTATACTTTCACACGAGTAATTTGAGGAATTTGAATATATTCGTTAGACGAAGAAGAGACAAGCTCATTTAACTGTTGGCGTGACCTAGATCTTTGATAGGCCACACAAAGATGTTGACAACATGATGTTAAGTGAAAGTGAATAACTTGGTTCAGTAGTAAGTAATAAGAGTGTAACTCATGTGATACATGTTAATGCATATCAAAGTGCTGATTGCGCATGCCAGAGCGCACTGTCTGATTTCCGCACTCTTTGTGAATGAGGTTAAACAATATCTTGGAACAGTCTCATGCGAGATTGGCAGCAGATGGCCACTACAATGGAGTTTCGTTGGCCCAATTGGAGGGAAATTTTAATAACTGTCACACGCTCGACGCGTGCAGTTTATACGCCACATTTCCCAGGCTCCCACGCGCTCTTCCTTTCAGGGAATGACCGTTAGATTATCTGTCTGAACTACACTCGGTAGCCTATACTTTCACACGAGTAATTTGAGGAATTTGAATATATTCGTTAGACGAAGAAGAGACAAGCTCATTTAACTGTTGGCGTGACCTAGATCTTTGATAGGCCACACAAAGATGTTGACAACATGATGTTAAGTGAAAGTGAATAAGCCTAAACCCGGGTCGCAGAAAACACCACATCTTAAATAGGTTTGCGTTCGAAATCAATTGTGACAAGTTGGAGACTGTGTAGCCTAAAATATCTAACCGAGTACACTAAAAAATGCTGGGTTAAATACAACCCAGTGCTGGGTAAAATAGGGACAAACCCAGCAATTGGGCTGTTTTGACCCAGCGTAATTTGAATATATTCGTTAGACGAAGAAGAGACAAGCTCATTTAACTGTTGGCGTGACCTAGATCTTTGATAGGCCACACAAAGATGTTGACAACATGATGTTAAGTGAATAAGCCTAAACCCGGGTCGCAGAAAACACCACATCTTAAATAGGTTTGCGTTCGAAATCAATTGTGACAAGTTGGAGACTGTGTAGCCTAAAATATCTAACCGAGTACACTAAAAAATGCTGGGTAAACCCAGTGCTGGGTAAAATAGGGACAAACCCAGCAATTGGGCTGTTTTGACCCAGCGGTTGGGTTACTACCCAGAAGGTTGGGTTAAACATTTAACACAACCGCTGGGTCTTATTTACTATATATTACAGGGCATATAGATAGAAACAATTGCTAATTTAGCTATCATATAGCAGAAAAAAATAAACGAATAAATAAATAGAAAGAAAGAAAGAGGGCAAACCCTTACCTGAGACACTAAGCCCTCCAGGGTAAACTTGTTGCAGACTGTATAATGCAGGGGTGCCCAAACTCGGTCCTGGAGGGCCGGTGTCCTGCAGAGTTTAGCTCCATCTTGCCTCAACACACCTGCCTGGAAGTTTCTAGCATGCCTAGTACGAGCTTGATTAGCTTGCTCAGGTGTGTTTGATTAGGGTTGAAGCAAAACTCTGCAGGGTTGTGGCTCTCCAGGACCGACATTCGCCACCCCTGATGTAGCCTATAAATTATATTTGATATAATTCATATTAATGTATTTATTAATGAAGGCTATTAAGGTATAACTATGAAAAGCTGGCATTAATGTACAATATTAAATCATATATTCTATGTAAAATTATGCATTTTAAGAATTTAGGTCAAATGGAATACCAGAAGCACAGTCAAATAGGAGATTGAATGATTCTGAACAATATTAAAAGGAACAGAGATGCTTAAAATGTAAATCTAACGCAAGGCATTGTTAAATAATAACATCATTATACTTTTTGAAATGAAATAATATTTCCAAAAACAACGTGTCACTGGTGGCCTTCTGCCCCAAATCTCAGGGAGACATCTTACCCGCAAAGATCTAGAATGCCGCCGATGAAAAACTACTGTTTTTTTAAAATAGTTTTTTTAATGACTTACAATCAATTAACATCACAACACTTCCGATGGAATAAATTTCACAAGCAATAATGTTCAGACGCATTGCTAAGAGGCTACAGCAATACCGTGATATACAAATATTGTGCGAGCCGGCCATCTATTGGTAATATAGGGTAAGGCCTTCGAAGTAACAAAACCAATACCTGCCTTTTCCAAAAATAAACAAACATTAATATCGAATACAGATGAACTAGTAAGACGCTAGGGTTCGCAATCAGCATTTTCTATTGCATAATTTATGTATGAATAAAATGAACCAGTCTACTTTATAACCGGCCTTTTTCTGCAAATCAATAATCATGTTTAAAGAAGCATAAAAGAAACAAACCAATACATATATATGCATAAATGAATAACCTTGTTTTAGAAAACAATTAAACCCTACTCGTACAACTAAACACCGTCATGACGCGCCGCTGTCCCTTTAACATCTGAGCCGATTGAAGTGGGGCCAACACGTTACAGTTCTCCTCCCCTTGATGGATTATTCACAAGTTCAGTCCCTGAAGACTTCTGAACGAACCGTTTGACAACGGGCCATTTACTTCATCTAAAGCGGACGCGTTGCGGTGTTATTGTTTTGTTGTGTTTACTTAGGAATCAAGGAACGTAACAGGTGAAATGCACTGAGTGCACAGACAAGATCAGTATAGCCAATGGATAACGTTGACGACTACTAAGACCGTAACGAAATGCTTAGCTGGTTTTCTTAGGTAACAGCTAAGCGGTGCATGGAGGTCATTTTTTTGCTAAAATGCCATATAATGAATAATAATAGATCATCTGAATATATTTCTCAGGTGTAGGTCGGTTCCCTTATGGTGTGGTGATTCAAACAAAGAGGGATGGACAGAAGAAAGTGACTCGCTGCGCGGAGTACGCGCTCGGTAGTGTGGACTTCTGTTAACTGACGCGTAATGGTGCGCTAATAGTCATTTGTTTGGAGGCGCTGCGATCATCATGGTGGTTGAGAGGACGCTTCTCGCAGCGAGGCAAGGGGATGTACAAACTCTAAAAGTACAGTTAGCTGAGAAGGTACTCAACAGCGATGTGAAAGATGTGCTGGGAGCGACTCCCGTACACCACGCCGCGCGAGCGGGGAAGCTCACCTGTCTGCGGTATTTGGTTGAGGAAGCGGGTTTACCGGCGAGCAGCCTGGCGAGAAACGGCGCAAGTCCTGCGCATGACGCCGCAGCCACGGGCAACCTGAGCTGCCTTCAGTGGCTCGTGACGCACGGAGGATGTCGAGCGGCCGTGAGTATCTTTACCAAGTCTTTTCAAGGGTAACAGTGTCCGTGTAAACACACAGTAGCAACAGCAGTAACAACACATCTCCAGACAATTATTAGACTACATATAAAGTAGGGTACAGTGGGTGCTCTGTGGAATATGTATAAATATATAGCTACTTTATGTAAACTTGTCACCTAATGTTAATACTTTTGATATAGCAAGAAACAACAAAGAAAAGAAAGGTAGAAAAACAACAACAACAACACCACACATTTGAGCAAATTTAAGGCTCCGGTTAATTTCAATGATTCGCTTTTTATAACATATGCAACCACATGCATATTTCATAAAAAAACAAACAAACCTTTAAAAATGATTAACCTAATCACCTTAAAAAAGTCTCAGAATTGTTTTAAATAAGAATTTCAGGTATTCTCATTAGCATTTAGATTTGCAACATATTCAAAAATATTGGGTGAAACTGGCTAAAATTACCTTTTTTTCATAATTTCTCACAATTCGACGTGTATCAAGATATTTTTCTGTGCATAGTTAAAACAGGCATTCACGTAGTGCTGTGGTGGCGTCGATTATGTTATTTAGTGATTTAGGGAAAAAAATAGCCTCCCCACTGCTCTGGGCCCCTTGTACTCAATCCCACCTTTCCCCTCATTAGCGATGACCCCACTGTCATGCTTAATTTGGCTTTTAAAGTCATTAAGCTTGATGCGCTTTTAACCTGACAAAAGATAAATGGTAACACTTTACTTGAAGGGGTGTGCATAAGACTGACATGACACCTTCATAATCATGACATGACACATGTCATGAATATGAAAGAGGTTTTATGCATGTTTATGACAACTGTCATTAAGTGTCATTCGCTCAGTTATGTCATTTTTAATGCAAACATGACATTATTTGACCTAACACTAATCTAACCCTACCCCTACCCTTACCCCTAACCATAGCCCATAACAAAGACATCTCAAACAATGTCATCTTTGCATTAAAAATGACATAACTGAGCGAATGACACTTAATGACAGTTGTCATAAACATGCATAAAAACCCCTTCATATTCATGACATGTGTCATGTCATGATTATGTAGGTGTCATGTCATGATTATGAAGGTGTCATGTCAGTCTTCTGCACACCCCTTCAAGTAAAGTGTAACCAGATAGATAAAGCAGTCTAATGAAGTGTAATGGAGACATACCCATCAATGTATGCTCAGCAGCACCCACACTGAGGCATAAACTGATTTCATGGCCCAGTCATGCTAAGAAATCTCATCTCATTAGTAGGAGATCCTTATAACACTCATTTAACCTTCAGTCTCATGGTCAGAGAATTTACTCAACAGTGTTCTCGAGATCCTACTAAGAGTGTGACATCAGTTTAGCCGCTTGACCCGTGCCGTGGATAATACCGTCCTCCAGGAGTCAAGTGTGGGATTCATGCAGCGAGTATAATTATGGAAGGAAGCCAGTGTGTTCGCTTAGTGCTAAGAGCAAACAGTTCTATCCTGCCCATGCAAAACAATGAGATGGAATGAGATAGAAGTGCCACATTAAGTGCTTTTATCCAATTGCTGTTTTCAGGAAAGTGTGGACTTCCAGGCACATCACAAGCCAAAAAGCAGTTTTCACAATTGAGTTATATGTTTACACAGATTATACTAACCATTTTGAATGTATACTGGTAGTGCTCTTCAAATCTTATTTAAAAATCTTTTTTGTGTACTTTAATTATATATACAGTATATTTTTAAATGCATTGGCAGATAATACAAGAAAAAGCTCATGATTGCGTTTCTTAACACACATTTAAAAGTGCACTTTGTAATAATTTCAAATGAAAAGTCGTACCTTAAAGTTCATTTTAAATCATCATTTCAATCATCTTTTGTCATGCTTTAAAGAAGTACACTTATTTAATGTGGCGACTTTGATTATAATATTAACTGTAGATTGTGTTATTTAATATTAGATTTAAAGGTATTTTAAAAGTACTTAATAGCAACTTTATCATAACGAATGTGTACTTACAAATATATTTAAATAAATCACAAAACTTTTCATAGAAATGACAGTACAGTGTGTTTTAGTTCGGCAGAACACTTTAACCATATTTCAAAGACAATAGAAGTGATTATGAAATTACATATAAAGATTTACTTATGTCCTGCTCAAGTGGGTCAAAAAGGACTCAACTTCAACTAACTGCATTTAAAATTAATATAATATAAAAATTAAACTATAATACTTTTTAATTGCATTGCACGTACATGTAATTAGGTGTCCAAAAACATTCAGCTCACACTTAATATTCTTATAAGTATATTATTTCCATAATAAATAGAGTCAGGATTATCAAGGCAATGAATTACAAATTAAGGACATTTGACGTTTAAAAAACTTTATTTCATTATGATTCTGCATAATTATTCAGGGTGTTCACAGAAAATAATATCAGCCTGATTCTGTAAGTACATTTATTTGGGCCTGAACACTTTTGGATGCAGTCATGTTGTGTTCATAGCTAGCTTACTGTAAGTTATTGTAAATGTAGATCACCAGAGGTGGACAGTAACGAATTACATTTACTTGATTACTGTACACACTTTTTAAGTATCTGTACTTTACTTGAGTATTATGTTTTCTGGAAACTTATGACTTTAACTTCACTACATTTGAAAAACAAATATCGTACTTTTCTCTCCACTTCATTTCTATCAAGGTCCTCGAAGTAGAAAGTCGTTACTATGTAGCAGCTTTGAAAGTCAGTGGGGGATTTTATTTTTTTTGACAGCCTATAAGTAATCACTCTTGAAGGGTTACGTGAAGTGATTTCCCAGCATTTTTTGAACACTGACCAGTTGCAAATGTGATATTTATTTACAACAATTCAATAATAAGCTCTTCAAATCTTATTTAAAAATCTTTTTTGTGTACTTTAATTATATATACAGTATATTTTTAAATGCATTGGCAGATAATACAAGAAAAAGCTCATGATTGCATTTCTTAACACACATTTAAAAGTGCACTTTGTAATAATTTCAAATGAAAACTATCTGTACTTTACTTGAGTATTATGTTTTCTGGAAACTTATGACTTTAACTTCACTACATTTGAAAAACAAATATCGTACTTTTCTCTCCACTTCATTTCTATCAAGGTCCTCAAAGTAGAAAGTCGTTACTATGTAGCAGCTTTGAAAGTCAGTGGGGGATTTTATTTTTTTTGACAGCCTATAAGTAATCACTCTTGAAGGGTTACGTGAAGTGATTTCCCAGCATTTTTTGAACACTGACCAGTTGCAAATGTGATATTTATTTACAACAATTCAATAATAATAAGTTAATATTGTCTGATTTTGCAAAATTGTGTAAAGGTAAATATTACCTATACGTGTACACACTCTGCCAGAACTGTGTGAGATCACTACCATCCTGCTAAAGATACTACAAGCTATAGTCAGCGTATTCAGTAGGCGTAATGTATTGTAAGTTGCTTCAGTGGCATAAGGTATTGCAAGTATTACATACAACAATAATAAAACAGTGCGTTGACATAAAAAAAGGAAATTTACTTTTCGTACTCAAGTACTTTTAAAAGCAAGTACCTCTGTACTTTTACTTAAGTAAACATTTGTCCTTGCAACTTTCACTTGTAACAGAGTAATATTTGAGCAGCAGTATCTGTACTTTTACTCAAGTAATAGAGTTTGTGTACTTTGTCCACCTCTGTAGATCACATATCATTCTCAGTATAGGTGAAACATATTTTCTGTTTGAAATATAGTGGATTTGTTATAAATCTTCAATTAGTTTGGAGCAGAATCTGAAGCCAGAAGTGTATATATATATATATATATAATAAAAAACACTTAATTAATTCTTTACTTTTTCATTAGGCCTCATTTGAGTCTATGAACCTTTGTCGTTTGGTATTATAATGAAATACCTCTAAAAAGAATAAACTACAGATTTACTAGAATTTTGTTTTGTTTGAGAAATTCGTTATCGGTCTAGAGGTACACCTCACCTTATCATTTCAAAAATGTGTTTGTCTCAATGAAAAAGTAACTGGAGCTCTTGCTGTTGTCCTTTTTTCCTTCGGTGCACATGCAATAGTGGAAGTTATCTCTGCCATCAATGTGGAGTGCAACGTCTGCAGCAGGGCTTCACGTTACATTATTGTTTCACATACCTGCACTACAAGTTTGAATGACAACAAATAACTTTGGCCAGTCAAATATGATCCAGCAGAGACTCTGGGTCAGCATATGTGACGAAAATGATTAATATTTTGTCTTATACGGTATAAATAAATCTGTTGAAATATACCCATGTTCCTCGTCAGTACTTTATAACATGCAGCATGTATAACATTTAGCTTGCAGATTGTTGCCTTTGAATAATTTAGAAATTTACCATTGAAATATATTTCTGTATTCCAGCTGAACGGTAGTTAATGTATGATACTGGATGTACTGTGTTGTTTACAGCATAAGGACAGCTCAGGGGCCACTGTCCTGCACCTGGCTTCTCGCTTCAGCCATCACGAGATCATTGATTGGCTGCTGAAGAGTGGGGAAGGGGATCCTACTGTTGCCACGGATACGGGGGCCTTGCCTGTTCATTATGCTGCAGCTAAAGGGGACTTACCCTCGCTCAGGCTGCTACTGGAACACAGCCCACAGTAAGACCACTCTCTAATATTGAGACAGTTTTGTAGTGGGACCTTGTTTTTCAAATTTTCAGCTTTTTAAAAAAAATCATTCAAGCACTTTTCTAACCATGTCACACAACCATACAGGACTCATGAATGTTATGATGAGTGTTCTTAAAGGATCCTTAGGTGTACGTTTTGGATATGGAATAACAGTGTTGTTAGGTGCATCCTAATTTGCATACTTATGCACTATTTTATGCCATTTTTATGTGATTATTGTGTACACACTGAAAATTTCAAAAAGTAAAAGTGCTCATCAAATGCCCAGATGTTGCATGTGCAGGAAAAAAATACAAATAATAATAATTAATTATATATATATAATATATAATCATATATATATTATATGACAGATATTTGTCTTGATTTGGGCAGACCTTCTCGCTCAAATAACAATAATTAGAGTATATTTCAGGTTGCTCCAGCCAATGTTCAGGTGCAGTTCTACATTCACGAGGACACACTTAAGTGTTTCTCTTGGAACCAGCAGCAGTGATGTGATGACTGTACCAACTGGTGTTTGGCTCTTTTATTTAGAAGGCTTCATGTTCTAGAGCCAACATTGTTGCGCATTACAGTTTCTCCTGTTCATGCCATGCATAGTATAAATCGGGAATGTGTATTAAGAAAGTAAGTAAGGTCAGATTTGTTGTCATGTTGAAGGCGACTCCACTAAACAATTTATTTTCTTTTGTGTGGGGTATTTCTTCACAAACATCCAAAATCTAGTTTGAGCAGGTTCTAAATGCTTAGAAATACCAGTAGAAAACAGTTTTTGCAGCAATGCCATGAACCATTTGGGATTCCCTAAAGAACCATTTTTTTTCTCTATAGTGTGAGGAACATTTTAATAATCTGAAGAACCTTTTTCCACTGTTAAGGATCTGTTGTGCAGTGGAAAGATTATATGGATGTTAAAGGTTCTTCATGGAAGCACAGATGCCAATAAAAAACCTTTATTTTTAGGAGTGGGCTCATAAAACAAAGCAAAACTCTCAGGAAAAATGTGGGGAAAAAAGTACCTTCAGAGGTACAACAGCTTGTCAATGGGACAGGACCCTTTAAGGGACATATTTATGTCTTTACATCTTTATTTACCCCTAAAAGTAGTAATACATTAAGGGTACATATTACTACTCTGAAGTACTAATATGCACCTTTGATCACACACCTTTTAGTTTATTCTTACTTTTAACTAGCTATTAACTATGACTTTTGCCTCAATAAACTCATAATTTGCTGCTTATTAATAGTTAGTAAGGTAGTTGTTAAGTTTAATAATGGGGTAGGGTTAAGGAAACTAAAAATATGGTCATGCAGAATAAGACATTAATATATGCCTTATAAGTACTAATACACAGTAAATATGCTAGTAACATGCATGCTAATAAGCAACTAGTTAATAGTGAGAATTGGTCCCTAAACTAAAGTGTTACCGCACCTTTTAGGGGTAGACAAGGTAAAAAGTTATCCTTTGAAGTTGCTGCCTTTGTACCCCTAAAGGTACTATTTTTTATTACCATTTTTTGAAGAGCTGATTCGAAAGGATGACAGTGATGATGAAGTGATGCTGTGGAGATCAAGCAGAGTATTCCTGGGGTTTGTCTCCCAAAAGCATCGTTTGTTAACTATGGTCGTTAGTTCCATTGAACTCTATTGGTAATGACGGAACTTGCGACCATAGTTGCTTTTGGGAAACGCACCCCAGATCATGTAGTCTTCTGCATCCTTCACACTCTAAGAAAATTCCCATTTGTTTCTTACAGTTCACAACCTACCATTCAAACTGACCTATAATATAAGATAATTGTGCTGTGTTAATTGAAGTTCAGCATTTTGTGTTTTTATCTGATATGAATCATTCCTTTAGCGGACCGGTGCTAAAACAACATAGACAGTGGGTGCAAATAAACAATGCTATCAATTCATTCTTAGTAAATCTCCTCTGAAAGTTTATTCAGGAAGAAAGATATTGCTTATTCTCATTCAGCACTGTGTACACTTGTCTCAATGGAGACTGTCAGTATCACACAAGTGATAAACTAATGAGGTAAACAAATAGCCTTGAATAGAAGTCTGCAGTGTAGGAGTTTTCTGCATTGTGATGATAGGGTTGCTTTTGGAGGGTAGAGATAACATTCTCATGTCAGAGGGGTCAGGTAATTGTGTATTGTTTTCTCTTCTTGTTACAGGGAATGTCTCTTGGTCAGGGGTCATGAGTAGGTCACGGCATTGTGTTGTGGGATGATTTATAGCAACATAGCTTACTGATGTAGACAGTCTTCTGGCACAATGGTTGGTCTAATGGGATATGCAGAGAGTGTTGAAATTATGGTGACACACCTTAGATAGGTTTGTATTAGTCTACATCTAACAAAAGGAATCAAAGGAGGTGTATAGATTAGGGTTGTGTGTGGACCCAGTAATTGATTCCTAGCTATGTAGCAATCGAAATACACCATTTTTACAGCATGCTTATAGCCACACTCTTCTGTTATGAGAAGCAAAGCATTGATGACTGATTGCTGACTGACTGGTTCAAGTGAACATTTGCAAACAGCATCGTAAACTTATGTGGTTGGAGCTACAGCTCTCGACCTGTGGTTAAGGTAAGGGAACCCCGGAGTATGATGTAAGAGGAAACCTCTTACGAATCAAACTTCAAATTAAACAAAATGTCAGGGAACAAAAAATAGTGAAGTAGTCATTTTTATTGCAGCAACATCTCAAAATCTTTAATCAATTAAGTCAAAGTTTATTACTCCACCACCTTCATGTGACGTCATTAATGACATTCCTATGTTTTTTAACCAATGTGGTTCATTGACAATATCACTACCGTTTCGGAAAACAGTCATGACTAGCTGGTTAGTTTCTCCAACGATGCATCATACTTTGGTAGGAGTTAATCAGCGATAGGGATGTAACGATATGAAAATTTCTTATCACAATTATAGTGACCAAAATGATCACGGTTATCAGTATTATAACGTTATTGTTAAAATGTGCTGGAGATGTTCAAAAAGTACAGACACATAAATCACTTCACCAAGTTTTATATTTAAAAATCAACAAACAACAAATAAAAACACTTTTTGTTTGCATAATCACTAAAACAATAACATTACCAATGATGTTCGATTTTAAATGATAGCTTGACTGACAACAGTTTAAGAGCATGTTGAAATATCTAATGTAAATGTTCAAATAAAGCTTTGAAAAAGTTTCATAAAAAGGTAAACCTCACATTTCAGCCTTTAAATAAAGAAAAGATATAATCGAAATGATAATTGAGTAATAAATGATTATATGTATTTTATCTGCTCCATAAATAATTCTAGATAACTTATCTGAATTGTTTAAATGTGTAGAATCCACATAAGCTTGTTTTTCATCAACCGGTCAAAATTTACAGCAGGGCATGCAAATTCTGTCCGTTTTTTGGCCAGACAGAAACTGCACACATGCTGAATGTAAATATAAGTCTCTGTAAAGCCACTCACTGACAGCAGGTGGCGCTTATGGAAAAGCTGAATTACAGCTGTTTCCTGTAAACTCCGTGGACAAAGCAGTATTGCGATTAAGAACACTTCCTTTATGTATTACATGAAGCGAAGATGAAAACAAAATGCCATTAAATTGTTTCTGAAGACAGTCAGAACCTTCAGAGGTACATTCATATATTCATTTGTATAATTCCCTTAGCACTCTTTTAAAGGGGTCATATGATGCTTTTTTAAAGATCATTATTTTGTGTATTTGGTGTAACAGAATATGTTGACATGCTTTAATGTTCAAAAAACACATTATTTTTCAAATACTGTACATTATTGTAGGTCCTCTATGCCCCGCCTCTCTCAAACGCTTCGTTTTCTACACACAACACACACACACACACACACACACACGATGCGCAAAACTCTGCATTTGTCAATAGCAAATACTTAAACTAATAACAGTAGGTGATTCAGAAGCGCCTCCTCTCCTAGGTTCACGAAACGGTCGTCCATAAAATGCATTGCTGTTCTCACTCTGCGTACTGTGCGCCGCAATGGCTAAAGTCTGTTTAGTAAACTGGACATGACAAAGCGACCGTTGAAAATCATTTGAAATTTGTGTCAATACGTCATGAATAGAACGCAGCAGCAGTTTTCTGTCGGGTATTTGTCATGTCGCGCCGCACCGCATCCAGTGTAGACCATAGATATGTATATATATCTATGGTGTAGACAGCATCACTGATTATAATGAGTTCTATAATATTTTGTCACGCCGAGCCACTCGCGTCCGGTGAAGACACGGTGTAACATTGGTTTTGCTTTGTTTCACAGAACTAATCGTTGCCTGGGTTGCGTATGTATGTGTGGGGCGGAGCTATCAAAATAGGGCCGTGTTTGTTTTGGTGATCTCAAATGTCAGCATTGGCTACCAGAAATTGCTTACCTCACCTTTAACAAATGCAAAACTGATATAAAAACGCATTTGTTGATGCAACCGTGCCATTTTAACTTCCTTGTATGCAGATTTCAACTGTTTTGTCAAACCGTAGTTTCACAGGATTCGAACCGGAGCTCCTCACCTCTCAAGTATGTCTCCGTACTCCGTGAGCTACCGAACAAACCTACCGTCTTTGAAAACCCATAGATATGAAGCTGGATATGTGTGATGCTAACATTCAAAAGCCTCAGTTTTCAAATCTCCCAGCATATTAAAATTGCTTTGAAGTCATAACCTAATATTCTTCAAGTAATTGTGCAAAAATTATGCTTTATTACTAATCGAAACTCTGTACATTTGTGTGAAAAGGAATAAAAGGTGTCGGAGTTGTACTGCCTCTAGTGTTCATTTCTTTTGGAAACTGCAGTGATACACACTTATTGGTACGTATTTCGCGTCTCGTGAAAAAGTGCCCCCAGGTACGTTTTTGCCATGAGACCAGGTAGGAAGAATCAGTGGTTAAAATATAT